ATACTTAATTATAAATAAATATAGTAAATTACTTACTTTTTAATTCTTTCATTTCATCAATAAATGGTCGTAAAAATGTATTAAAATCCTTTGGTTTATTTGGTCTAGGAATCAAAAAAGGAATTAATAAATTTTCTTTTTTTACTCGCAATGAAGGATGTAGATTGTTATTTATCAAAAGAAATAACCAACAATCATCAGTTTTTTGTTTAAAAATCTGATATCTATCACAAGAAGCTGTAAAAGCAACATCTCTTTTATCATCAAATAAGTTTTAATTTACAAGTTTTTTGTAAATTTTTCCATCAAATATATTATCTAAATCATCATCATTTTTATTTATAAGATATTGATGATGATAATATAATTCTTTTGCTCTATTTGCATCATTAAATTGTAATTTTAATCTGTTTTTTACTGAAAGATATAGCATAATCTTTTTTGCTTTACCTCTGGTATCTAATCTAGTTGAATTACATATTGGATAAATTCTATAAGATTCATATTGTCCAGTATAACAGATACAAGAATTTTCACACATGTCATAAAATGCTAGAATTAATCCCGTTATTTCTTTTAAATATTTTTTAATTTTATATAGACTTATATTGTTTGCTGTAAATATATTTAATATATCATCATATGCAGATTCTGTGAAATTATATAAGGATTTTAAATGTAATAGTTTTAATCCTTCTATGATTTCTTTATTAAGAGTATCAAATTTATCATCGATTTGCATTGTATCTTCATCTGTATCTTTATCTGTATCCTCATCTATATTATCATTCATATCATTATCATTCTCATCCTCATCATCATCATTCTCATTTTCATAATCATCATTCTCATTCTCATTATCATCATTCTTATCATCAGTTTCATCATTTTCATAATCATCATATTCTTCATTATCTACTTCAACATCTATATTATTATCAGAAAATATTCTTTATCTTCTTCATTGAAATCAAACCTTCTTATATCAGAATCTTTATCAATTATATTCAGTTGATTCTCTTGTTGATATTTATTTTCTTGTTGATATATATCTTGATATTGTATATCTTCCAAGTTTTGCTCTTGATAACTTATATTTATTTCTCCTACATCTAAATATTCTTGTTGATTTTTACGATGACGATTATATGTTCTCATGCTTACTATTATACCCTTTATATTTTGATTTAAACAAACTAAACATTTGCATAAGATAGTATTTTCTGACATTTTTTAAAAAAATTAAAAATTATTTGTTAGAATAATAATAAAAAAATATGTCTTATATATAATAAAAATTAGATTAATTAAATAAATTAAAAATTTAAAACATAGCTTGATATTAATATTAGTTCGTCCGAAAATATTAGTTCGCCCGAAAATTTCAGTTCGTCTATTATCTAAAAATTAATTTTAGTTCGTCCGATATTTCAATTATATTAATTCACCTGAAATCTTAATTTGGAAATTTTTTGCAGATCTTCAATTTTTGCCCAAAATTCTAATTAAAAGCTTTTTATAGATCAAGTTTAATTAATAAGTTTTACAATCAACGAGTATATTTGATCTATAAAAAAGAAAAAAATTATTTTTTATGTATATATATCAAATATTTTTAAAGTTATAAATATATGTATAAATTAAAATTTAAACATATTGGATTTTACTAAAAAAAGACATATTTCTTGGATATGATCACCAAAATTTTTATATATAGCATATAAATACAAGAATTTATTTTATTTAGTAAAGATTATCAATCAACATCTTTTATTGAATGTTCTTTTTAAAACAATACTTTACAATGTTAATTGTAAGAGGATAAGTTTGTATATTTTAATCTAAATTTGGTAGTCTTATATATGGGTTGTTACGTAGGAAAACCAGGGTCCGAAATGATTTTCAAATTTTGAGTAAATTCAAAAAAACATTTATGTTACACAATTTTTTTTGATTTATTTTTAGATGAGGAGATGATAAAGATCACAAAATTTTACGTATGAAAACCATGCTCCGAAATAATGTTACACAATTATAATAAAATATTTTCTTGCGCCTTAAATCTCTAAAATTGACTTTAGTTATTAAATTTAGAAAAAAAATTAACATAATGGGAAAATTTTACTTGAAATTTGATCATATTAATATTTTTTTTTACAAGTTTCTTTACATTTTATCAAACATAATGTCTTTACCTTCTTATGATTTATTTGCTTTAGAATTAGAAGAATATGCTGAATATGAAAATATAATGGAAAAAATTGATGAAATTCAACAATTTTTTAATAGTAATCAATGTAATTGTAGAAAATCTAAAAATAATAAAGATATACGTACTTGTTTCGAAAAAATTGGGTTTAAACAGTTTTTTATAAGACATATTGAATTTAGTAAATTAGATAAACAACAATTGGACTTTACTATTAAAGGTCAATTAATGGCATTTGCTGAAATTTCACAAAAAAAAATACATTGGAATTATCGATATTCTTATAATCAATCTTTTAATGTTTGTGTAAATATTTATCTAAAGATGGTTGGAATTACAAAATATTATCTTGAAACTCTACAACAAGATTTTCAAAAAAATGGTCTTACTCAACGAATTCATGGAAATACAGGACGAATACCACATTTATCATCAAAAGTTATAATTACACCTGAATTAAAAGATATTATTAAAACATTTATCTCCAATTATGCACAAATTCATGGATTACCATCTCCTTTAAGACATCGGACTGATTCAATGGCATTTATTTATCTTCCAACTTCAACAACATATAAATCTGTCTATAATGAATTTAAAGTTGCATATTTACAAGAATATGGTAGTGATGTACGAGTTCTTAGTTATGTATCTTTTTTAGAAATTTGACATTATTCAACACCGCATATAAAATTTGAAAAACATGGAACTGATTTATGTGAAACATGCCAATCATTTAAAGCACAATTAATTTTAGCAAAAAAAGACAATGAGGAATATTTATCTGTTGCAGGAAAATTCGATATTCATAAAGCTCAAGCTGATACTGAGCGTAATTATTATAATAAAAATATTGAATTGAGTAAAACAAATAATAACATTATTCACATATGTTATGACTGGGCTCAGAATGTCTCTATTCCTCATTCACCTCAACAAATAGGTGCAACTTATTTTAAGACAGCTTTTGCTGCTCATATTTTCGGTGTTTGTAGTACTGGCAATACAAACAGACAACTTAATTTTATTGTTGGAGAAAATGAATTTCCTGTAGGAATAGCAAAGGGAGCTAATACTACTCTTAACATGGTATTTCATTCACTTAATGTATTTAAAAAAAATGAGAAAAAACTTTTAAAAATCACGTGATAATTGCGGTGGACAAAACAAAAACAATCTTTCTTTATGGTTTTGGCTTTGGTTAATAATAATAGGATGGTTTGAAGAAATTGAATTAAATTTCATGATTCCGGGACATACTAAGTTCGTTTGCGATGGGTATTTTGGAAATTTTAAAAAACTTTATTATAAAAACAAAATTAATACAGTAAATGACGTTGAACAGATAATTAATATATCTACAACTGCAAATGAAGCAGTAAGATATAATGAAGGATCAGGTTGGATTTGGTATGATTTTACATCATTTCTTTCACCACATTTTAAAGGACTTCCAGGAATAACAAAATTTTATCATTTTCGATTTTCTAAGTCAGAATTAGGCAAGGTTTATTGTTCTAAAGAATCGGGAGGTGAAGAAGTTCCATTTGTTCTTCTTTTAAATAATAATTGTAATTTCAATCAACTTCCTTCGATTCTTAATACTCAACCTTTGACATTAAAACGTCAATGGTATTTGTATAACAAAATTCGTCAGTATGTTGACGAAGAATTTAAAGATGTTTTATGTCCTCTTCCTACTAGTAATAACGAAGATATTTAGATGTTTTTATATATAAAAACATTTTTGGTCGTTAATAAATTTTATTAAACAATTTAATAAAAACTTTTTAAAAACGATAATTTATTATATTTATTTACGTGAACAATAACTTAGAATATTAAAAAAAATATATTCCGAAAAAGTTTAACTAACGTTATTACAAATAATAAAATAAATAAATAATAAATTTAAAATTATAAAAAAAAAAGAAAAACAATTTCAAAAAATAAAAAAATATATATATATATAAGCCTCTCCGATCGGATCAATCCAAGGATTCCGGCATCTACAAAAGGAAAAAGGTAATTATTAATAATTTGTTTAATTTGTAAATTTAATTAATTAAAAAATATTTACCCATTCCTTAGGATTCGCCTTTGATCTGGGATTTCGGTATCTACAAAAAGGAAAAGGTAAGTAATTATTAAATTTTGTTAATCTAATTTTATTAAAAAAAAATTTACCTTTTCCCTTCATAGGATTCGCCTCCGATCCAATTAAACCAAGGTTCCGGCACCTACAAAATGGAAAGAGGTAAGTAAATAATTATTAATTTGTTTAAATTTAAATAATTTATTAATTTATTAATATTTACCTTTCCCCTTTATAGGATTCGTCTCCGATCTAATTAATCCAACACCTACAAAAAGAAAAAAGGTAAGTAAATTATTAATTTGTTTAATTTGTTAATTTAATTAAATAAAAATATATTTACCCTTTTCTCTTCATAGGATTCGCCCTAATCCATTCAATCCCAAGGATTCCGGCATCTACAAAGGGAAAAGGTAAGTAATTATTAATTTGTTTTAATTTTTTAATTGATTAAAAAAAAATTTACCTTTTCCCTCCGATTAAACCAAGGTTTCCGGCACCTACAAAAATGGAAAGAGGTAAGTAAATAATTATTAATTTGTTTAATTTAAATAATTTATTAATAAAATAATATTTACTCTTCCCCTTCATAGGATTCGCCCTGATCCGATCAAACCAAGGTTACCGGCACTACAAAATGGAAAGAGTTAAGTAAATTATTAAATTGTTAATTTAAATAATTTATTAATTTATTAATATTACCTTTCCCCTTCATAGGACTCACCTCGGATTCGAATAATCCAAGATTCCAGCACCTACAAAAAGGAATGAGGTAAGTAAATACTAATTTATTAATTTAATTAACTAAAAAAAAAAAACTTAACCCCCCTCCCCCTATAGGACTCGCTTTCGATCCTACAAAAAGGAAAAAAGTAAGCATTCTAATGATTTTATTAATATATTATTTAAAAATTTTTATTATTATTATTATTAACATTACCTACCCTTCGTGGTTATGGTTACGAATTGTTAAAATTAAATAAAATTATCGAAAAGATCCTAAAAAAAAAAAAAAATTAATTTACTATCCGGAAATAGAAATTAAATCAACAATCTACAGAAATCGCCGATCATTACCAAATTCTAAATTTAGATTTTGAGAGATTTTTGGATTCGTCGTTATTTTAACGTTATTTTATTAAGTTAACTAGCCATAAAAATTATACCATAAATAGATAAGATAATAATGATTTACATGATAAAAAATTTCGCAGCATGATTTTTGTACGTACTAACCCATATAAAAGGATCATTTATATATGCTGTGTTACATAAACTTTAATTCGTTAAACGTTATACAGTATTTATCTAATTATTGTATTAATTTTTAATTTTAAAAAAAAATTTGTATACCGAGCTTTTTTTTTTAAAAAAATTTTTTTTTACACATTATATTATTTTGTGGTTCTTTAGAAGTTTGTATTTTGAAATTTGCTTTAAAACTTTATTTTTTTTCCTTAGATTTTGAAATAATAATTAGTTTTTTTACTTTTTACTTTAAAAAAATTAATAATATTTCTTTTTTTTTCAAAGAAAAAAAATGATTCTGGATTCTTAGAATAAAATGATAATTAAAGAAAAATTTCTTTTTTTCTTTTATTTAAGATTTAAATTGAATTTGTTTTATTTGATTATTTGTTTGCTTTAGTGATATTATTAATATTTCTTTCTCTTTTTTTTTTTTTTTAAGAAAATGATTCTTAGATCCTTTAAAATGAAATGATAATACTTTAGAAACATTACTGAAGAGGAATTTTATTTCTATGTCTGGTATGTTTTCACATATATAAAAGGTTATGATTTGCTTTTAGGTAGCCGTAATTTCATTCTCACTTACATTGTAATTTTTCTTAT